CAGGAGCACACTTTCAGAAACAACCAGCAGATCCTCCAAGATATTAATTACATTTGTATATTGTTAAATGATAAGTGTTATGTGATCCAGTTCTTTCTCTGATTTCTGTTGCTACACTGTCCTTTGTTTTTTTTTCTTGAGGAAAAGTTAAGATCAAGGAGAAATTTCTGGAATAGGGAAAAATAAAATCATTGGGAAAGGAGGGGGAAGATCAAGGTTCCAGGCTAATTGGAGTCACTAGCATGTGGTTCTGCTGAGGAAATAAGACAAGCACAGATGTATCAGGACTGTATGCTAAGGCTGTTTCAGTTCTCTTGAGAATGAACATGCTCCGTGGAAGAAAGAAATCATTCTTTACTTCTTCTGCTTACCTAGTTTTATAAGTGTTTCTTAGTTATTTGAAAAAGCCTCCTATTGCTGTTCAAACAGGGACACCTGAGTTTCGTCCAGTGTCACACATGCTGGATCTGAGCACTCAGCCAACAATTTTCTCACCTCCTTTTAGCTAAACAACCATCACCTGAGCTGTTGTGTGTGCCCTTTGCCTGTAAAACGGACAGGTGGGAAACATGAATTCCTGGTTATGGAGCTATGACCAGCACAGTCATGGCCTCCTGTCACTTCACTGCCCCTTCCAGCACTCTGCTAACTGACTACCTGGATAGTCAGCACACGCCCTATAACCTTATTAAGTGCTTCTTTTTACACCTTAAGGTGATTTTTTCCCCAGCCAGCTTTGAGCCCTAACTTGGTAGCTATGTCTATTTCCATGATTCATTTTTTAGAAGAATTGAGGCAATGATCCCTATATCCTTCCCAAAAATCACACATAGCAGAGTAATGATATTCAGAGGAGAGTTGACTGTGGTCAGTCTATTTGACGGGACCTCCCCTGCCTCCTGGGGAGCTCGCTTTCTCTGGTCCATGGGAGTGTGGCAAAGTGAGGGGCTCGGTGGACAGCCTTCCCAAGGAGCCCTTAGCCCTGTGACCCGGCTGGTCCCCCCTTGTCATACCCACTTCAGGCCATCTCACAGTGTGTCTGCAGAAGGCCATTTACAGAGCAAAGGACAGAGAACTTTTTCAAGACAGAACAAAACAGTGTGTACCAGTCTGTAGTTTCCTCTTTGTGCCTCATGTGGTGTCCTGAACCCAGTATGCACTCCGTGAAGACCAACTTCTTTCAACTTCACGAGCACATCCATTGGAAATGAGGGAAAGTGGAAGTTTCCTGAGCGTGGAGTTCTTTGGCCAAACACCCACTTGTACATTTGGGGTTTCACATATTTTACCTATTTTTCTTTCACCGATCATTTATTCCTTGTGTGGCTTTTGGCGGCTTTAATACTGACTAGGAAGGTATGGAAGTCATTGAAGATGAAGATGACATAATGTTTAGGAAACTGGAAGAAACTAAAGAATCCCACTGTAGTGCTCATTTCACTATAAGAAAGATACTCTATGTTTCCATGTGGTGTGATTTGTAGGATCCTATACGTGGGATAACTGCATGCTACCAAAAGGTTGTTTATAGTGAAGCTCTGTCTTTACGATATTTCCCTTCTGAGTACAAAATGTTTCTAGAAATAATATGTACCTTTTTACCTTTAAGTTCGAAGGAGTTTGAAGTTTTGTTTTTTTCTCTACTATTTCATGGAAGTTAGGCAAGAACATTAAATATCCTTAATTTATGCATAAACTGAATTCCAGATCCATTAGGTCATTTGCTCAGGGTCTCCTTGAGGGTGCCAAGGCAAGGGTCATGGAGATGTCAGGCTCCAGTCCTCCAGAAAGGACTCCATGTCCTCCCTCATCTGCTCCCTGGAGTTAACTAGCAGTGCCTGCACCTCAGCCTCCTGGCCCCTTTCTGCACGGGGCCTCTGCTCTGCCCCACACATCCTTGTCTGTCCCTCTGCCTATCTGTGTGCTGTCCTCTGCCTGCCTTCAGCCACCCGCCCGTTTCTCTGGAGCCACTAGAGCTGCCTGTCTCCAGGCCCTTCACATGAGGCCATGGAATCCTGGGCAGACCATGACTTAGTTTTCTTCATGACTAGACCCTGCTCCCTCTTCAGCCTGGCCTTGCTCTGATTGTGTGCTGGCTCCAGCCATATTGAATAACTTGCAATCTTTGCATGTCCCATATTCCCTCACAGTTCTGTGCCAACAGCACTCTTCCCTCTGTCTGGTGCCCCTTCCCCTGTCCTGTGTCCTCCACTCCTCCTTTCCTTCAAGACTGAGTTCCAAGTGTCCTGGAAGCCTTCCTGATTTCCACCATCCTGGACCCCTACCCCACAAGGCAGTGTGGGGTGGCCTTGCTAGAGCACTGTGCTCTGTAATAGTGTCTGCAGTGGTGATCTTTTTGCTGCCTCCCGCAAGCCTCTTGTGAGTGGAGATGTGTGGTGATGTTAATTTCTTCTATCTCAGACCAACCCATGATTGATATTTAATAAATACCCACTGGTTAAAGAATAGCAAAATCCCAGCTTTCTTGATCCTCAGTGAAAGGTTCTTTATTAGACTACAGTAAGACCCTAATGAGTAATAAAAACCAATATTACTAAGCACAAACTGTGTTCCAGATACTGCCCTGGGCTTACTACACATATTCACTCATTAAATCCTCACAAAACATCCAGAAGTTCCTTTACCGATGGTGAAACTGAGGCACAGAGCACTTAAGTGAGCTGCCTAAAGACACAGCTGTTAAGTGACAGGATTCAAACCCAGACAGAAATCACACTCAGTACAATACATGCCATCCCTAGTTCCTGTTTCCAATGTGATCTGGTGTTCTGGATAGAACATAAAATGGGAAGACATCTCACAACTTTAACACATACTAACTCATACCTGTCTGAACAAGGGTGAAGAGGAGAGTACCTTGTATAATGCTTAAATCAGGGCTTTTGGTGTGCCTGTCACCCGAATAATGTTCATTGTACCCATTAATTTAGTTTTACATTACTTTTACAAATACTTTTAGGTATTTACAGATATTTAACAAAATATTTTTATTTTTCTCTTTGGGCTTCCAAAATACCATAAGAATCTGTATTACTGCCACAGTTTTCAGAGGATTTTCACATGCATTATCTCATTTTGTATTGATGCCCAATATTTTACAGACTTCTCAGGAAGCTAATAAACTACCCAGACTGGAGGATACTACATGTCCTTAGCACATGCCACACTCAGGGCCTTTTAACAACTCCAGCAGGCCTTAACCTAGCAGAGAGAGAAGGATCCCTTGTAAACTACTGTATTAGGTGGTAAGCTCTTTTATAAATGTAAACTTAAAGATGATGACTTAATCTCCTCCATCATTTTATCCCATGAAGTGTTGCAGAATCACCCTACAATAGATATCTAGTAAATATCCATGGAATAAATGGATAAAAGTCATATAGTGACCTGAGTTAATGTTTATTCCATTAAACGACTGGTCACAGTATTAATAAGCTCTGGGAAGCGAGATGAAAGCAACTTATAAAAGGGATTATCACCACAGCCACCCACATAATACATGAGCATGCGAGTGAGAATGCTTTTTGGAGCAGTATGCGCTTTGCAGTTTTATGTCCAAAAAGTACGATGAGCCCCCAGAGAGAAAACATACACTAAACTACTAACAAATATGGAGTCCTAATAATAAGCATAGCAAGATGTATGGTCATTCATAGACTCAGTCTTTATGTAAAATGCCCTATAAAATAAAGATCTGCATGTAGATAAGTTCAAGAAAAATAAGTCTCACAGATATGGTAGGGCGAGTAAACTTTGTTATGCTCATCTTTTGGTCTTTTAATGGGCAAAGACATGGGAGAAAAATGATGGCTTTTTTAGCATTTACTATGAGAGGCAGTGTTGTAGGGACATGACAGTACTGTTACTCCCTAGTTTACAAATGAAGCAATTGAAGATAATTAGGTAACTTGGAGGAGGACACACAGCTTATAAATAATGGATCCTAGGTTTGAGCCTGATTCCAGAGTCCTTGCTCTCATCCATTGCACTATATAATGTACTTAGAGTGACCCAAAAACCCGAAACTCTCACAAAAAAAAAAAAAACAAAACAACTCACACCCTCCTTAGAAGAAGACTCTTCACAGCTTATATTTTGCCAAGAGTTTCTGTTACCTCTGTTCCCTACCTGGACATGAACATTGGCAAATCACTGCATGTAATTCATTGTGATTTTTTTTTCCAGGCATGTAGAAGTTCTAGAAAAATATATGTAGATATGTTTGGCCTGCTGATCATCAAATAACTATAAACCAAACAGTCGAGATTTTTTTTCACTTATCTAATTAATAGTTTATGTTTAGAATTAAAACATCCATATTGGCTGACAGTAAAGCCCAGATTGTTACTATTTGCTGGTAGGAGAGTAAATAGGTAAAATGTTTTTGTAAACCAAAAGTACCATTTTATATCTAAGGCTTTAAAAAGTATACCCTTTGCCCCAGGAATTTTACTACCAGGATTCTATCCTAAGAAATAATCTTAAGTACAGCAAAAACATTGTATACATAGATATGTGATCAAATATTAAAATGTAAGGACTCTTTTAAATTGTGTTGAATAACTTGTTAAATTTTATATATAATACATTTGTGCAGGAATACTCCATTTGAAAATAATTCAGTTCCTTTTCCTTCATATTAAAGTATCCTGAAGTATTGACAATATTTGCTGATTTGTACTTGATAACTATCTTTTTGTCATTGCAAGTTCACATAGAAGTAAACAAAGTAAGCCCTGTTTTTTGGCAAAGATGTTTCTGGCATGACCCATTGCTTTCACCTAGCTTAATAAAAGCTAATTAGAACTGCCAGTCACCAGAGAATCTAAACTATATTATTAACATAATTTTGTTAGAATTGTTGGTAGCTGGTTATTAAATAGATTCTTTTCTTTTGCCTTTTACCTTAAAACTTAGGCCTTCAAAGAATTTGTTAACTCAGAAGACGTTGTTGAAAAAGCAAAATATCTGGTACTTACATTTCAGTGACTTATTCAGGTCTCCGTGTAGTAGCAGTCAGTTTTTGCCCAGACTGAACTAAGTTAACCGTGGCATGTTGTTTTAAGAGAGACTAGGCAGACATCCTTTTATGGTGGTGACTTTTTTTTCCTGTCACCCTGTGACTGAGCATATAATGATCAGTTAGCCTCGTTATGTGAGTGTACTTTTTTTTTTAAATGGGAAGTGAAAATTTTTTAGAGTGATTTGTATTTTTTAAAAAAAACAACTATCCAAAAGCCCCTTGGAATTTATGAATTATAGACATCTATGGAACTTTATAAACTTTTCTATAAAAGTTTATCAAAAAATTCTTTGAAAGAAACCTTAGCAATAAACCTTAACCAAAAAAAAAAAAGTTTCATAGTTACTGATGGTTTTATATTGATATTCTGTGTAACAGTATGGGTTTTTAAATGTTTTAAGGACAAAAATGTCAACTTTGACTGTTCTTGACTACCTGGAAACTTGGTATCAGGGAGTGGTTTGCCCATACTTTGTCTTATCAACAGCTCATGCGAAAGAAACAGGTTTCTGTGGTGAGTGGGAGAACAACACAATTTTAGCTGTGGACAGGATTAGTAGTTTCCAGACAAGAGGCCAGCTGAATCAGTGACTGCGTGGACACATGAGTAACAAGGAAAATGTCAAAGTGAGGCACATTGTAGGTAAAATGCAGCCTATCATGTGCCAGATGAAAGAGACCTACTCTGCCACCCTATAGTGTCCATTGGGCTCCATTTAAACCAACAGTGTAACATGGCTATCAAAATGCAGTTTCTTTGGAGGCTAAATTACTGGAAATATAGTGCTCAGACCAAGGTAGGTGTGTTGTTTACATTTACCCAGGACTGATCTGGCCATTCTCTGCCAGTTGTGGATGCTGCATTTTATGAAGGGTGTAGATGACTTAGATTGTGGCTGGGGTGGTGGGAGCCTGGGTAGCAGGTCTGAAGAGAAATGATTGAATAAGGTGGGAATGTTTAGGCTTTGCAGGGATACGATCATTATTCTCATACATTTGGAAACTGTCTCATAGAAAATAGTTTGAATTGCTTATGTCAGTCTTCCTGACTCCAGAGACTAGAAGAGGGGCCTGTAAGAGGAAGTTACCTGAGATAGCTTTCAGATCAAAAGGTGAGAGTCCTTCCTAAAAGGTGGAATCATAAAAAAAAAGTGGAAAATGCCATTTCTTATTTGGATGCTTCTGTAAACTGAATGATGATTTTGAGGGATGATGTAGAGCTGTGGTCCCCAACCTCCAGGCCTTGGACCAGTACTGTTTATTTAGGAACCAGGCCGTAGGGTAGCAGGTAAGCAGCAGGTGAGCTAGTGAAGAAGCTTCATCTCTGTTTACAGCTGCTCCCCATCACTGGCATCACCACCTGAGCTCCGCCTCCTGTCAGATCAGTGGTGGCATTACTTTCTGCATTATGGTGAGTTATATAATTATTATATATTACAATGTAATAATAATAGAAATAAAGTGCACAATAAATGTAATGCACTTGAATCATCCCCAAACCACCTCCCCCAACCCCAGCCCAGTCCGTGGAAAATTTGTCTTCCGTGAAACTGGTCTCTGGTGCCAAAAAGGTTGGGGACTGCTGAAAATCACTTGGTGGGAATTTGTAATGCTATGACCTCAGAGGCCTTTCCACCCCAGGATTCTATAAAAATAGCCGAGTGGCTTTGCCCTCCCAGTGGTGTCATTAGGTTCCCCTAATCTCTAAAGTGCATAGGGTCTACAGAGGAACATCGTTAAACAGAAGAAAGAATAAGTCAGCTGAATTCTTTGGGCCTCCACTTCACTGTCTATAAAATAAAGGCATTGAACTCACTGTTCTCCAAAATCATTCCTAGTACAAAAATTCTATGAGGGGATAATAGAGAGATTTTGTGACTTAGTGAATAAAAATGACGTAGTACTCCAGAACTAGTTCATTTAAAACTTGGACTACAGAATACTTAAGACATTGCTGAGAAATTTTTTGATTTGTTGAAAGGCCATCCTCGTCCTCATGGAGTTTTTTAGCTTTTAATTTTTGAAGTAGTTATTATTAAGTGAAACATTCTTATATAGTGAAGGATTCAACTAGTTAAAGTAATTCATCTTGCAAACTGGGTCTATCCTTTTTGTTTTTTGTTGTTTTTGGTATTAGTGGTTAAGCATATGAAGAAGAGGCGACAGGGTAATTGTCCTGTGAGATGTTATTAAAGCTGCATGTGAGATAATTTCATGAGTTCACAAACCTTACTTTTATCATCGTTGAAAGTTACCTTGGTTTCTTGAGCTGTGATTGCATTATAAAAGTGGAGTTGATGTCCTTTTCTGTAAAAGAGGTGAAATGGACATTTGCAACTTGAACTGGGTCTCTGTTTCATTTGTTCTATCAAGTACCATCATGTCTATATAATGGTAGCTGCTCAGTAAATATTAGCAATATTAGTTAAAGGATGAATGAATTCTTTAAAATCTATTTCCTCTTTTTCTGTACTTCTAGCCTCATATGCTTAAGCCAGAGAGGGCTTCCAGAAGTTAGTTATTCACAATATGAAAAAGGTCAAACTGAAGTATTATTGGCAATATGAAGAACAGATGTTTTCATAAAATAAGGAAAAGAGAAAAACTGGTCAATGACTAATAACATTATGGTATTTTGTGAAGTCTATGTGTATAGAAATAGCAATGGAAAATTTCTACAGAACAACCCATATAATTCTGATCTGAACTATGTGCTTTTGTGTTAATATTATACGTGTATGTGGTCTAGTATTTAGTCATCATTTAAAATTATACAGTGATTCATAACTTTTAAGGAATTTTTAAACTTCTTCTATTGGCATACAAGATGTAAACTGTGGTCACTAAAATTCCTATCAGTCGTTTTTAGTTTACATTGAAATAGAACCTCAAACAAGAACTCTACTTCAGGTTATTTAATTATAACAATATTATTTACACTTTATTGCCAGATATAAATGGAATAACTATGAATTAAGTACCTCAAAGGACATGTTCTGTGGTGAAAGCTCCAGTACAATTGGCTAGCCCCAGTAGGATTTTGTTATTACCAAGAGACCAATAGGAGATATTTTGAGCATATATATAAAACCTTATATATATATTTTTTTCTTTTGAGACAGGGTCTCGTTCTGTTGCCCGGGATAGAGTGTGATGGTGTCATCACAGCTCACTGTAACCTCAAACTCCTGGGCTCAAGTGGTCCTCCTGCCTCAGCCTCCCAAGCAGCTAGCTGGGACCACAGGCACACACCACCACACCTGGCTAAATTTTCTATTTTTTTAATGAGACAGATCTCAAACTCCTGGCCTGAAGTGATCCTCCCATCTCAGCCTCTCAAACTGCTAGGATTATAGGCATGAGCCACTGTGCTCAGCCAAAACCATATGTTTTAAATCCATTAACAAAGAAAGGAGTTTTTGTTGTTTTATTTTTTTAAAAGAAAAGGCAAATTCTGCTGTATGATTTTACTGTTTTGAAGGAAAATTCATTTTTCCTGCAAATATTTATTGAGCACCTACTGTGTACCAGGAACAATACTAGACTGTGGGGATAAAGCAGCAAAAAAAAAAAAAAAAAAAAAAAAACCAGACCACAGTCCCTGTCCTGTGAAACTTCCATTCTAGTCAGGGAAATAGATGATAAATAAATAAATCATGCAGTAGATTAGAAGGCTGTATGTGCTATGGGGAAAGATAGGAAAGGAATAGAGGATGTAGAGTGGGTGGGGTTGTGGGGGGTTGTAGTTGGAAGTGTGGTGGTCAGGGGGCTTCTCTGAGAAGGTGCTGCTCCACAGAGCAGAGCTGGGAGAGGCACAGGATGCAGGGCCTCGTAGGTCTTTGTCATGACCTTGGCCTTTACTCTAAGGAGGGGAGTCAAGGATCTTAAGTCCAGGGGTGATTAACTTGTACTTTTCAATGAAAAGAAGGCACACTTGTTTTAATTAGGTTTAGAATTGGACAGAAGCAGTTCTTTTGTGTAGTATTTAGAAATTACTTTGTTAAATTTTTTTTAATCCAACAAATATTGAATTGGATTATGTGTAAGAGTCTGCTAAATAGGCACTAGGGAGGGTCAAAGCTCAATAAAATATGGTGCTTTCTCTCATAATTAATAATCTAGTGGGAGATTTTTGAAAACCCTGTATAGTTAATTAAAATAGGGTCATCCAATTGTTCAAGAATAAGGATTATTTCATTGTCCTGGATTTAACGAGCTCCTAAGCTGTGCCAAACCCTGTGCTGGGAGAACCAGGGCTACAATTTCTTCCCTGCCCTGGGGTGTGCTCAGCCTGGGGGGGTGGCCAGAGGAGGGTGGAATTCAAGACTGATGAGTATGTTAAGAGCCTGCTGTGTATGTCCCTCTGCTACCCTGACCCTGCCGTCCTCCTCACTAGATGGCCGGCCAGGTGTATCTTATGCATCTCTGTAACCCCAGTGCCTGCACTTAGACCTTTACTGGTTGGGGTTTTCCCTGTTCTGGCATTTGCTGCATTCTTGTCAATACCTATTGATGTGGCTGCAGTTGATCACATTTGCTCTGTGTGTGTGTGTTCGTTTTGTTTTGTTTTTAATAGTAGAATTGAGAGGGCAATGAATGATGTTTTTTATAACATAGTCTCCATCAAGGATGAGAAAATGCACAAGAGGCCAGGAGAGTCCTGTGTTTCCCTGATAATGGCAGCAAAGATGTCTCTTTGTTAGAAGTGAAAAACAGTTCTTACATTTTTTTTTATCGTAATGAAATAATTCTTTATACCGATGCCATTCCTTAAAAAAATGGGAAAATAAAAGATAGACTGAGTAATTAAGCCAAGTGTTTAATGAAAAATGGGTGCAAGTATATGCCCAAACCCCTGTGATCATTCATGTTCCCTGCCTAGCCCCTGTAGGAATGTGAGTTTGCAATCCTGAAATGAGTTCCTTGAGGTTAGGGACTGCTTCTTACTCATAGGTGCAGGTACAGTTCCTGTGCTGAGCATCCCACCTTGACCTGGTCAGAGCCAAGTTGATTCATTGATTCACTGAAACAGTGGAACTGGCGTAGCTTTGCAAGCAAGAGGACAGCTACCAACCACCAGGAGGAGTCCAAGAAGTCTTCTGAGAAGAGCTGAGCAGTGTCATACAAAATGGGTTTCTTAAGCAGGAAAGTGGAAAGGACGTTTTAGGTCAAAAGAATAGCCTGTGTTAGTGTATACTTGAAGGACCCTGACATGCCCAAAGAGCAGCCGTGTGTGTGTGCACATGTGTGTACGTGTGCAAGAGAGGGAGTTTTGTGTGTGATGGACCAGGTGCGGGAGACAGAGAGAGAGCAGTTGTGGGAATCTGCAGTAATAAGAAAGAACTGCAGAGCTTTGCTGTGCTATCCATCTTTGGATCCTGGCAGCCTGTGAAAGGAAGGGTTTTGAGCAAGCAAGTAATACGATCAGCATTGTGTTTTGGGAGGAGAATATGTTTAGAGATAGATTAGAGAGAAGCAAGACTTTAAGTAGCAAGACACATGTGACTTTTGGACCTGTCAGGTGAAAGATGTCAAATTGAATTTCAGAGCCAGGTTGGGGGGTGGGCAGGCAGTTTTAGGACTCACTTCATTTTCTTAGTTAAAGCCATAGAATGGGTTGGGATTGTATTAACAGGCAGAGACTGGAGCAAGAACAAACTATAATGAATGGAACTCTGGAGAGGGCAGGAGAGTAGTGTGAGGAATCATTGGTAAACCAGTGAAAAACAGGTTTCAGACAAAAGGAGGGAGGAATCTGAGGGAGGGAGGGCAGGAGGTGAACAGTGTCAGTGCTATGGGAACACATCACTGGACAAGGCCTGAGATGAGGCTTTTTGGATTTGACCATGAAGAATTCTAATGTTTCTTGCTTTTGGTTTATCTAGTCTCTTTCACTAGAGTTTTAGTCATACATGGGAAGAAAATGTGGCATCCACTTTAAATTTTCTCACAGTGCCTCACAATTAATTAATAGATGCTAAACCACTTTGCAGTGGTTTGGGGAGGGTTCATAGGATAGGGTAATTAAAGTTTTCATAAAGTGTTTTATGTAAGTATAAATTATTTTGGCCATGATGCATGTTTGGAAACCAACTCTTGTGTATCTAAGACCATGCTTTCAAACTGAAGTAAAATTATAAACAGTGTTACTTCAAATATACATCTGCCATTGGTATTTTAAATTCATTGTTTATACTAGAGTGATCTTTTTTTTATTTGTTTGCATA